TTGTCACTTATCTTCCAGAATGATCGTATCTGCATATAAATTGTCAATGCCTTTTGTTTTTGTTATGGTGTTATTAAACTTTTAAAGCAGTAATATTGTCAGTTTGTGCAGAATAACCTAACCACCCTACTGTGAGGATACCAATCTGGTTCTGAAATAGAATGGTTTTTGCATCCCTCCTTCCCCCATGTTCCTGAATGAGAAAAATGCTGTTTGATTAAAAGCAAAGGTAAATTGTTTCCTCTTCTCTCATCACCAAGTTAATCATCATTTTTCTGTGTGGCATGTGATATAAAAATCAGCAATATATTTAAAAAAAAAACCATGATAGTGTATAGGTTACCTTGTAATCACACATAATTGTCATGTTCTTAAGCAAAATTTTAGGCCCTGATTTAGCAAGGTCCTTGAGCACATTCCCAATTTTAAGCACATGATTAGTCCCAAAGAAGTCAATGAGACTGTTTACCTGCTTAAAGTTAGGTGTATGCTTAAGTATCTTGCTGAATGTGGCCTCAGTCTATACTTTCAGTTTTTTTCTGGCTATGATTATATGCTTTTACAGTGTAAATGTTAATAAAAGAGTCAGAAAAAGTTGAGACATCTGGTCTGCTGCAAGTTCTGCATTACAGCTTTCTAACCAGACCTATGGGAATTATCTTGTCACATCTCTAGGCTCCTATGAATGTGCTTACCAGAAAATGTCCTTTTTAAAAAAACATAGTAAAATCTCTTTATAAAATAAAAGAGTAACTAAATAATTACTTAAGTATTTTTTCTACGTGTTTTCTACTGGTTATTTATTTGTATATAAACATATTGTTAGATATGAAAACTGGTCTGTAGCATAGTGTTTTTTTTAAAATCACTGCACGTCAGTCAGATTGTACATATGTTTTTGCATCACAAACAAGGTAAAGTACAAAGTGTGGTGTATGATTGTACAGTTACAGTTAAAGAACAGATTGCATATAGCTAACAGTAAGATAATCAGTGTGAGCCAGATGCGAAACACACTGAAGTCAATAGGAAGCTTTTAATTGACTTAACAAATGAGGGCTTATATGTAGAAATACAACAAAAGGGGTTCACACTAGCAAGCGTTACATATGAAATCAGTACAGTATAAAGTAGGAACTGAATTACTTAGTTGCTTGAATACTATAATCAGCATATTTAACAAAACAAAGCCAAATAACATAATGTTTTGCCCCCAACAGAGTTTCATATTAGTAAACTTTTTCCATGACAAGAATACAGTTTGCCTAATGAACTTTCCAACCAAGGTACAACTGGGGTAGGTCACTGGGCTATAGCACTAAGTACATTCCCAGCATCTGAATATTTCACAATGCATGCCATTTTTATTAATCTAAGAAGTCCACAATCTCTGTCCCCAATTCAGGAAAACAATCATATTCAAGACAGCCCTAAAGCACATGTTTATGGGCTGTCCTGAATAGAGATGCACTTAAGAATGTGTGTAAGTGTTTTTCTCAATCAGTGCATCTATGATACTCACTACTTCTATTGACACTGACATTCAACTTCACTTCATTTATTCACCATCTGTTGTTCCTTCAGTTTTATTTTGGAAACTGCTGAAGTAACAAGCCACTCTAATTCCAGGAAAAAAAGAAAAACTAACAGTGCAGGAATTATTTCCTCCAACCAGGGCCGGCTCCAGGCACCAGCCCAGCAAGCAGGTGCTTGGGGTGACCAAGGGGAAGGGGTGGCACGTCGGGCTGTTCGGCGGCAATTCAGCGGCGGGTCCCACTTGGAGGGAAGCACCTGCTGCCGAATTCCCGCCGAAGAAGAAAGCAGCACGGTGGAGCTGCTGCCCGGAGTGCCGCCGATCGCAATTGTCATCGCGGCTTTTTATTTTTCCCCACCACTTGGGGCGGCAAAAACCCCGGAGCCAGTCCTGCCTCCAACCAGCAAGAATCACAGTTAACTGGTTTGAGAGGGGATTGAATAAATCTTACACTTTTACCCCAGCAACAGGGGAGAGAAAAAAAATCACATGATGGGGTCATCTGGGAGGTGACATCAACTTCTTTGAATTCTCCATCGGAAGAAGTACTGATAGTATATCAAACCCAAGTACATTAGGCAAGCTGCCGTGCTAGATTGAGTCTTTCTCTTGCCTTGGACAGAAATCAAAAACTCTATCCTCATCCTCCTGTCCACTCCATCCATCAGTAGAAAATAAAAACATTACCCCCATCACACACCTGGAGATTGCCTATAGTGTGAGCATCAAACTTAGCAATCAAATAAGCAAAAGAACGCATTGGACACGAAGTCCGAGTGACTGGAGCGGTGTACAGTGGGCCACAATGAAGCATAGAACTGAATCAAATTTAAGTACATCTGGGAAACATTATGAACAAAAAATCCGTTTATATCATTGGTACAGTTTCGCCTATTCAAGTTTCTAGTGTAGACAAGCCCAAGGTCTGAAGCAGGCTCACTGATGTTCCTAAGTAAAAAAAATCCCTGTGGTGAAGGATGGGGACACTAAGATGACAACAAGGTGTAAAAATCATTATTAAGTTGTATGTGCTGCAAAAGAGCCCCGGCGGAGTGCACCGGCCCCGGCCCGCCCCGGCCCCGGTGGCTCCAGGTTGGCTCGGGCCCCGGGAAACAGGCACCGGCCCCGGCCGAGCGGCTCCGGCCCCGGTGGCTCCAGCCCGGCTCGGCTTGGGCCCCGGGGCACCGGCCCTGGTTCCGGCTGAGCGGCTCCGGCCCGCCCCAGCCCTGGCGGCTCCAGCTCAACTCGGGCCCCGGGGCACAGGCACCGGCCCCAGACGAGCGGCTCCGGCCCAGGGCACCAGCTGAGCATCTCCGGCCCCGGCGACTCCAGCTCGGCTCGGGCCCCGGGTCACCAGCCCGTCCAGCCCCGGCCCCAGCACCGGCCCGAGCCCCGGCCAAGCGGCGCCGGCTGGCCGGCGGCCAAGCACCACCGGCCCCAGCGGCTCCGGCTCCGGCCTCAGCGCGGATCCAAGCCCCATGACCCCTCCCTATTTTCCCGGACATGTCCGGCTTTTTGGAATTTCCCCCCGGACGGGGATTTT